TTTTGCTAGCAAAGATGGATTCGATAAGTATGCTTTCAAATTCCTGAGTGCTTGTTGACACTCTTCGTTCCATTCAAAATGATCCTGCTTCTTAAGAGTTGAGAAGAATTTAAAGCACTTCTCTGATGATTTACAAATGAATCTTCCCAAGGCTGCAATTCTTCCTGTTAATCTTTGAACTTCTTTCTTGCTCGAAAGTATATTAGGGATTTCTTCAATGGCCTTAATCTGTACAGGATTCACCTCAATACCACGGTTAGAAACAAGAAAACCTAAGAACTTACCTGATGCAACACCAAATGCACATTTTTCGGGATTTAACTTCATATTAAATTTTCGCAAAATTTTAAATATTTCAGACAGATGCGATATATGATCTCCTGAGTGCTGAATTTTAACGAGCATATCATCTATATAGACCTCCATAATTTTTCTCAAATGCTCTTGAAACATTTTGGTAACTAACCTCTGATACGTTGCTCCTGCATTCTTTAGACCAAAAGGCATTACTTTATAACAGTAAGTCCCCCTGTCTGTTATGAATGAATTTTTTTCTTCATCTCCCGAATCCATTTTAATCTAATTATAACCTGAATATGCATCTAAAATACTTAACAACTCATGCCCTGCAGTAGCATCAATTAGTTGATCTATATGAGGTAATGGAAAAGAGTCTTTAGACAAGCTTTGTTAAGATTTGTATAGTCTACACAGACTCGCCATTTACCGTTCTTTTTAGGTACCAAAACAGTGTTGGCTAGCCACTCAGGATACTTTACCTCGCGAATAAACCCATTATTTAACAATTTGTGCACCTAATCCTGAATCACCTGATTTTTGAAAGTGCCCTGCTTTCTCTTTGTTTGATAGGTGGATGAGATGGGTCTTCATTCAACTTATGAGTCATTGCCTCCGGTGGTACGCCTGTCATATCAGAATGGGACCAAGCAAAACAATCTGCGTTAGCTTTTAAAAATTCAATCAACTTAGGTTTCATATCCGGGCTGACATCGGCTCCTATATACACTTTTCTTTCTGGCCAGTGTACAACAAAACCACTGCCTCCAGCTCTTCTATCGTCGTTTTGATGTTTTCATTTTCCTCTAGTTCTTGAATGGAATCAGACCTTGAATCCACATCTGTTTGCCCTTGTTCAGTTGAGGTTGATGTTAAGTTATCCTCAACTGAATTCTGTAATTGCTATTTCTCTTCACCCTTCGCACTTAAATTAGCCACGGAGTTGATGCTCTTGGATGTTTGTTGATCCCCCCTGATTTGACAAATTTCCCATGGCGCTGGAAATTTAATAACTTGATGCAAGGTTGAAGGAATAACATCCATTTCGTGGATCCATGGTCTCCCAAGAATCATGTTGTAAGCCATCTCCATATCTACCACCTGGAACTTTGTATCTTTGACGACTCCTTCAGCGAATGTGGTAAGTGTTACCTCTCCTTTTGTGACAACACTAGAATTATCAAATCCAAATAGAGTATGCACCTGTGGTATCACTTTATCTTCAGCTTGCATCTCACGTAATACTCTTACCAAAATAATGTTCACGGAACTACCTGGATCAATTAAAACTCGTTTCACGTTAGTGTCATGTAGAAGTAAAGATATTACCAGTGCGTCGTTATGTGGAGTTAATAGACCCTCGGCATCTGCATCAACGAACGTAATATTTTCTTCCTCCAAGACATGTCGAGGCCGCTTCCCGTGGGTAATTGTTACTTTGAAAACCTTTTTATATGATACGCCATTGATCTCTTCACCCCTACTTATAACGTTGACAGTTCTTTTGAAAGTGCCCTGCTTTCTCTTCTTTTGTTTGATTTTCTTGGTTTCCCTGAATGTTGTCATTGTTGTTTGACATGGTTGATGCAACAAGGGAAGTTAGGCTAAAATAAAATGGATTATCAGATTCCCGGTAACAGAACCAATTTGTTTAACCAAAAAATAGAATTTTGACTAAAGCTATAATTTAGAAGAACACGGGTTACTGATAATAGCAAGAATGTATAAAAGAAAGTAATTTGGATAGCCAGAATATAATTGAATAAAGCAAGTAAACCAAAGTATATTCAGATGATCTTTCGTGTCCCTATAACTGTTCAGTCCTCTCCTTTTATAGCTATTTCGGATGTAAGTGCCTTGCTTTGGTCATAATAAGGTTATTATGGGCAATAAATGACATTGAATGCTACGTTACATAATCATTACATTTAAGACAGATTCTCTAACGTTTTCAGCATTTAATGCTTATCAAATACTGTATTTGGACCCTCGTATGCTGTCAGATTCATTCCCTTGACTCTTCTTGATTATTGAACTTAAATTTCTTGAATAGGTACGGGCGCTGAATTCTTTAAATAACCGCCCGTGCCTCTTCCTTTGCTTTTGCTCGCATCTATAACTACTCGTGCCTCTTGGCTAACTGTAACTCTTTGACTATTTGACCAGCCTACGTGTCATGACACGTCATCTGCACACTTTTTTAATATGTAAACTCAATTTTTCCCAATACAGATATCACATAATATCACATAAAATATCACCTATTTGTCCGAGTAGTAATTTTGTTTTATTTTATGTGATATTATTTTTTTATTAATGTATTCTAAAAAAATATAGTATACATAACTAAAATAATTTGAACCTTGGCCTTAAAACAGTTGCTTGTTCATTTTAATCAAATTGCAGAAACAACATGGGAAAAGACGTTGAAGAACAGCTAAGCCTAAACGAAGATTCCAAGGTATGACATGACCTCTTCTATATCTTCTGAGTGTTTTAGTCTAATGAGTTTCAATTAATAAAGCTTCAACTCCATTGATTGATTTTTCTTTTTTCCTCTTAACTCTTCATGTTTAGGATGGTGAAGTTATAGAATCTTTGTTACCCCCTATACCAAGATCACCAATTAATAGCAGACCAAATAGCATGGTGCTTAAGGCAAGTTAAATTTCTCTCTATCTATATATGTTATTTTTATGATAATTGGGTTGGTATGGTTGATGAAATTGAAATTAATTAGTTGCAAAGTTCTATGCAAACATTGCTAAAAACTTATTGTTCCTCTGGTTTCCTATCTTCTTTCACATTTAGTTCTTACAAAGTATTTTCTGGTGGTTGGTCGGAGATTATGAAAATAATTACCGGAAAAACTTTTATTAAAGATTTATCATAATATTAGCAAAATAGACGGTGTTTTGATAAAATTGTTGAGTTTTGATGATTGATAATAATGTCTAGCTTTTGGTAAAGCAATAATATGAAGTTAAAAGTTTAAATAATTACGAAGGAAAATGACTTCCGCCCAAAAGTGAGGGACGTCATCATTTTTCCCCCCTTTGGTGGAAGATTTTTTTTTCTGACAACCAAACACCATAATATTAACTTATTTTTTTTTGAAAAATATATTCTGTCATGAGTTATTTCATGTTATGAGCTTGAAAGAGTATGTTTTGATTAAATATTTGTTGACAAAAGAACAGAAAGCAAATACTGTAATTCCAGCCCATTTGGTGGCAGAAGCTATATCAACACTCCATGGCCTTGATTTAAGATGGTCAGGGCCAATAACACCAAGTGAAATGCAATATGTTCAACAGTATGTTTTGGCCAAGTACCCTGAATATTGTAATGGACTTGTGGAAGGAGGAGATAAAATTGATCTTTATACGCTTTGTCTGACCGATGAAACCTCAGAAGCATCCGCTAGTGAGAAGGGAAAATCCCCAAGGAGAGAGTCGTCGTCGCCTTCTTTTGGCACTAGTAATTCAGAGTTGGGAAAAATCCTATTGGAACCATCAAGATTGCTTGATATTCTCACCAAGAAAACTTCTTACCAAGGGAATTTCATTTCAATCCCAGAAATTCAAGTCCGAAATCGAGCTTTGCAACAATGTGGACTAAATGACGAGGAGTACTTAGTTGTTTTTACATTTACACTAAAAGAAGCAATGATGATGATTGGAGAATGTTACCCTTTCTTCAGGGGAAATTACTACATGACAATACTTGGTGAAGATTATGATTGTATAAGGGAATTTGTTAGTTTTAAAGATTCAAAAGTGATTGCAGCACCAGAAACATGGCTGGATTTAAGGATTAAAGGATCACAACTTAGCCAATATTTTAGGAGGAAATGTAAGCATAGTCCAAAAGGGCTTTTTGCATATCCTGCTTACATGGAAGAAACACGTTACTCGATGCATTGGATATCAGAAGCTCATAGAAATTCATGGCATGTTCTGTTAGATGCTTCTGGTTTGGATGCAGGAAAAGAAAGGAGGTTGGCTTTAGCATTACATCGACCGGATTTCGTGTTGTGTACAGTTGATAATACACATGCTCAGCCCTCAAAAATCACATGCCTTCTTGTAAGGAAACAATCCTTTGAAACAGCAGCTTCTTCAGCTAATTAACTGAAGAAATTAAGTTGAAGCGACAGAGAGACAATGTATAATTCTCTCTGAATACTTCTGTTCTAAAGAGATAAACAGTTTCTACGTACTGGAAGTTTTTATTTGTTTTGACCTTTTGCTGCTTTGAATTTGATTATGTATATCCTGAGATTTTACATGTGATAGTCTTTGTGTGTTGGTAGTTTAGTTCATGTAGGGAAATATTGGTTATGATTTCTTGATTAGAAAAGTGAGTCTAAAAAAGGAGATGTCGAGAATGATTTTTTGTATTTTCATGATCCAACAAGAATTACAATATAATGGAAGTCTATATATATTATTACAGCCTGCACAGTTGCTCATGCATGTTTCACTAATTTCTTCTTCCAAATATAATTATGCCTTTTCAGAATTATCTATATCAGAATTATCTCTGTGTTTAGGTCAACAGTTTCGAAATCACTGGTTGCAGTTATTGGGATCTTTTAGCTAAAACAAGATCCAGTAGACGAAAAATGTACCATTTGATATTCCTTCTAAGTTCTATCACATAATCCTTGGCACATATTACTTTCTCAAATCCAGAGGAAAAAGAAGCGAAATTAAAGTCTTGTACCAGCCAAGCAAATCCATACAACATAATTCCAAAAGTACCTACATACATCAATTCATTAAAACAGAGACAGAGACTTACAGCCGAAAAAACTACAAAGGAAATAAAACCTCATCCAATAATTGGTGAAGTAGAAGTGGAAGTCACAGAAATCGTTCGGCAGATTAACAGAAGTGATCTAGTTTACATCAAAACACTAGTAGCTCCCCTAGGAATTACACTTAAAAAGACTGCTACAACTGCAGCAGCCACTACTGTTCCAAAGATTGAAAGCTGGGGTCCGTTCTTGAATCCGTTGGAGGAATCCTTTGTAGTGTCGGGCGACGACGATGAAGAAGCCCCAGCAGGTGTGGCCACCGGGGTTTTGGACGCAGTAGATGCATTGGTGAAGATGGCATAATCAGGAGAAGTTGAAGGAATGTTGAGTAACTCTGCACTCGTCAACATATATGAAAATTAATATTTGATGGTAAAAAGGTCTAGTAACAAAATCTACAAAGAACTAATGTTATTGTTAAAAAAAATTTCTACTTCCAAAACATAAACGAAGCAACATATGGACAGTAGAAAAATTCACCTAACTAATTCTAACTTGCTTGAGATTGATACATCATATCTCTCAGAATCCCTAGGGTTTTCTACTCTCCTTTCACTTATACCAGACTTTATTTTTTGGCACGAGTGATCAAAATGGTAACGTGTGAGATGTCACCGCTACACATTCTTCTCAACACTTGATTTACTGGTCAAAAAAGGCCCACGAGCTCCAAGTAACATATTCTTTTATTGCAAACCAACATTTTTTCAAAGTTCAAAATCAATGAGATGGATGGTCCATATATAATTAATGACAACTGACGGCCTAAATATTGACTAGAAAGGTAGATTCAATTCATTTTAAGAAAAAAATGAATAACCCAAATGACCAAGTGTATTAAATTCGATCAGTGTTAAAAATGACTATCCTATACCCTATATATGGATAATGGCCATGCATGGTTTTCAGTTGCTTCATGTTTAATGTAGCAACAATGAAACAAAATATTTAGAAACATACCGCTTTCCAAACAAGATTTTTTTTTTCCAGGGATATACGTTCAATTACAATCCCTCTGTTTCAATTTATGTTGACACACTCTCCTTATTAGTCAGTTTAAAAAAGAATGACACATATTTATATTTAAAAATAATTTCACTTTGAAGTTTACAATTTTTCCATTGTCTTTTATGAAAAGCTCTTATTACAACACAGAAGTGAAAGTACCACAAAAGCTTTTACATACTCTTTAAGCTTGTAAGGTTCATATATATTTTTCTCTTTTCTTTATAAATCCTGTGCCGATAAGAAGAAGTAACTCTTAAAAACAATTCACAGCACACCTCAGTAAGTCAAACAGCGTGCTAGATCACCAAAAGGAAGAAAGAATTACATGGAAAAGAATTCACATAGAAAAAAGATAGGGAGATAAAAGAAATTACTAATACAGTCCGGGCCGGAGCTAGAGCACGAGCTACAGGTTCGGCCAAACCTAGTAGCTTTTGTTCAAATTCTATATTTGTCTTAAGAGATCTATTGAATATATATAAATTATTAATTGGAACCAACTAATTTAAACGGTTTAGAATCCTGAACCCATAAAATCCTGCTCCAATAAAGTAAGAATATTTTACTTATATACACTATTTGTGTACAAAAATATTTTACACTATCATCATATTTTAACATGTTAAGTCACCTTTATCTTCTATGTTATTAGTCACGTCTGATCCTGAAAGAGTATGAATGATAAAAATAGCATGTCGAAAAGCTCTTTTATTTTTTAATTATTTGAGAGGCAGAAGTTAAAGTGAGTAAGAGATTATCATGTTATAGAAGAGAAAGCATACTAGGGCAGTTAGAGATGCTGGCATTAGCGAGCTTGCAAGCAGAAGGAAGCTGAAGCAATTTATCTTCTTGAATGCCCATGCTCTTCAACTCTGGACTTGATCCTTTATGTATCTGTTCTATTATGTAACAAAGACAAACCGGGTCCTCATCTTTTATATCCTCCGCCGCATCGCAGCACTCCTTCGACGGCGCCGGTGCTTTCCCCGTCGCGTATGTTAAACACGCCGCTACCTTTTGAAATTCTGCCCCACACTTTTGACTAAGGCTTTTGTCATCATCTCCATTAGCCAACCCACATGAAAAGACCATTACCATCGCTAAACCGATAAATTTATATGCACTTTTCATTTTCTCAGCAACTTGAAAAAAGGAGGAGGAGCAGGAGGATTTTTTGTAGCAAAATGTAGAGGTTTATTTCTTGATATTTATGGAGACAGTGTTTGTCTTTGTTGTATAAATAGGAGTTAATGTATAGAGGAATTAATGGGCCGAATAATAAAGATGGGGTAGTTGGACAGTGATGAATAACACAATGGGCTGGTTGTCAGCATGTGAAGCGGGATGTCTTAAATGAAAGTTGATCTGTCGTATCTCAATCTGATTACGCGTGATTGCGTTGGGTTTTCATGAGTGTATCACTACACTCGTCTTTCACACTGACCTTTTTTTCCGGAAAACTAAAGGAAGTCCCCAATCGGCCAAAAAAAAAAAAAAATGAAACCCAAAAATATTTATTTTAAAAATATTAACATATCTCATACTCCCACCGTTTCATATTAGATGAGCTACTTTCCTTTTTAGTCTGTTCCAAAATAAATGACACATTTCTAAATTTGAAAATAATTCAACTTTAAACTCCTCATTTTACCCATTTTATCCTTAATGAGAAGCTTTTATAACCACACAAAAGTTATGGTCCCACAAAGCTTTACCCCTTAAGCTTTTAAGACAACAAATTTCAAAAGTCTTTCTTTTTTTCCTTAAACTCCGTGTCGAGTCAAACTACCTCATTTAATTTGAAACGGAGGGAGTATCTGTTTAGAAAAAGCTATTTACAAAATATTGAATTGGTATATATGTTATATATCTTCTTAATATTGTTTACCTCGAAAATACGAGTAACAATTAAATTTGATTTATGGTTTTAAAGATATGTTATTAAGTTCAGTACTAATTAATAACCAAGAAAACTAAAGTATAAATGAAAGAAATAAGTAAAATCAAACCAGTGTGTAATCCAGTCTCGACCTCCAGCTAAGGCCTCGAGGTAGGTCAGAAACAGTAAAATAAGAACAATAAAGCTAAAGGACAATTCTGATGAACAATGAACGAGAAAGTAAGGGAATGTATTCTTTTGCCAATGATTGATGATGTTTACAAATGATTGGGGTCCCCTTTATATAATGGGGGGAACCCTAAATAAGATACATTTCTATTTACAGTAAAAAATCCTATTGGGACAACTGTCTAACTACCTAGTACGGATTCGTACAAATCTATTCCGGAATTTACGCCATGATCTTGGGGACGTGGCAGGAATCTTGCTCATTCTGTTACAAACTTATAACGGCATCATCTCGGGGTTGATCATACTGGTCCCCGATGTTCCTCGAACACTTAAATCTTCGAGCCTTGTGTTCTGCCTTCGGACTCGAACTCGATCCATAATGAGTCTATTCCTCGACGCGAATCGTCTGCTCCACGTGGTGGGCCTTCGGCCCGCGAAATCGAGGGCACATGATTTTACCGTATACAGATAGTCCCTTTGTTTCTTAGAGTAAAATGATAAGAAACGATTTGAACCTCGATTTTCCGGAGTCCCTAATGACGTCATTCTCGTGACGTAGGCGCTCAAAGTGACCGAAACGTCCCATCGGTTCGCTTCCTCAAAACATTAAATGCTTCTCCAATGATGGTCGACCACAAGCGTCGTTGAACTGTCGCTGGTTACCTATAAATATGGGGCTCCTTTTCCGAATTAAGAACTTTACTTCTTCCTTGCACTCTTTCTGATCCCTTCTTCTCTTCATCTTTTTCTCTCATCACCTGCTTCCACCGTCCTTTTAGTACCGGAAAAAGCCAAGCTCTGCCACCTTTCGCTTCTCTTCACTTAAAATCATGGAAAAAACCTCTAAAACGGTTCCTCAAAAAGAAAAGGCTTCTTCCTCTTCCTCCCGTCCGGCAGGTGACAAAGCGTCGGCCCTTCACGAGATTGTTCCCATCGCCTGCGTCATAAAAAAAGATTTCGACGTAGAAAACCCCCTGCAGTTCCCGGTCGATGTGAGCATGCATCGAGGCATATCTGTTCGATAACGGAGAAACACCTCGAAGCTGTGAGAAAGGATTGTGGCTGGGGGGATAAGGTCGTGGTACAGATCCCGACCCCCGAGGAGAATGTCACCACCCACGTGGAGGGGTTCCTAAGTGTTACACTTACCCCTTCACACTAGGTCCTTTTGATCCGGTCGTGATTGACTTCTGCAAAAGATATCAAGTCACCCTCGGCCAGATTCACCCCTCTTTTTGGCGCATAGTGATCATGCTCCGTTATTTCTCTGGCAAGGCCAGGGGACTGGAGTCTACCCTCAATTACCTCATCCGTTTATATCGTCCTCAACTTTTTAGTGGACTGATCAAGCTCTAACGTCGATCGAGCAAAGCCTTCTTTTCTAGCAATGATGAGGCCAAAGACTGAGGCTGGATGAGCTGGTTCATCCAAGTGAGGACCTCGGACATCATCCCCGAGGATAAATTATCGTTCCCGGAGAAATGGAATCCCGAGCGTAAGTGAAGTCTTTCCCTCAGTGCCTTCTTACATTCTGTTTCTGCATTGTGTAACACTTTTACCCTTTTTGCAGCCGAAGTATGGATGCCCTATGCGATCCCTGATCTCGAGGACTGGGTCCGAAAGTTAGTCGCGACCTCATCGTATGATGAGCATAAATGGCGTGACTTATCGAGGGGCAAATGGGAGGCCAAAAATCATGGCGAGTCTTTATTTGTAAGTCTTTTGATGCTTCCCTCCTTTACCGAAGTCATTTGTTTCCTCATACTCAATTTTTGATTTATGCAGGGTTCGGAGATTTTTCCGAGATGAGGTCGGTAAGACCGAGTCCCCGGTTCCCAAATCAGGGAAGATAACAAGAGGAAAAGGGCTTCGAAGCCTGAAGACCCCCAAGACAAGAAAGCCCCTGCTCGAAGGCTAAGGAAGAAACTTATTCACGTGGACGTAGATTCAGCCCAGTAGTTTCTGGATGATGAGGAAGATGAGGGCGAAGTATCAGCGTTAGTGAACGGACTAAGAAACCGGTTAAGGTTGCCAAGCCCTCCAAGCCGGAGACCTTGCCTCGAGGTGAGGAAACTCCAAAGAAAGACTCGGGTAAAGCCCCCGAGTCCCCTGAGATCGAGATTATTCCCCTGCCTCCAACAAGTACACCAAAGGGGGCAAGTGGTGAGAACATCGACGCTAATCAGAGCGCCCTGAGTGAGGAGCTCGGGGCCATGACGATAGGTCACTCCCCTTCCCTACCATCTTATTCTGAGGAGGCAATAAATGGCGCTCGAGCTCTGCGAATGCCCGACCCGAGCAAGGTCCTTGAAGAAGATCCCTTTCATGATTGTTTTACTAGGGTCGAGGATGCCGCCAACCTCAATGACGCATCTACCCTCTTTGAAGAGGCTCATCGTCTGTTCTCTCGGGTAAGCACTAACTTTTATTGTTGTAGAATTTCTGGGTTTTTTTTCTCCTTCTGAGTTAACTGATATCTCTTTTTTCTTTTTATAGGCCATTACTAAGTTTAAAGCCGAGCTAAGCCAATGTGAGGCCGAGCTCAAGAAGTCTTCAGATAAACAGAAGGCTCTGAGGCTCCTTTGTAGCCAATAAGAGAAGGAGCTCAAGGACCTTCGGGCAGATTTGGCCAAAGCTCATAAAAATGAGGCCGAGCTAGAAAAGCAGGTAACCGTGATTTTGAAAGGGTATGGTCTACTCGACCTTACTGTGGAGGCTAACACTTCAATGTCTCAGTTGCAGCGAAAATTGGAGATGATCGGGCAGCTTCAGGGCGAGGTCGATTGGGTTAAAGCGGATTGCAACCGATGAAAGGAGAATATGGATCGGCTTGCTGCTGATAAAGAGGCTGCTCTAGCCTAACTGGCCTCGGCTGAGACCCAGCTCCGAAGTGCTAAAGTGAAAAATCTGGCCCAGGCCAAGATGATCGAGGATCTTGAGGCAAAACTCGCTGAAGTCGGGCTGAGGTTGCTGAGGGCAAGGCCGAAGTTGAGAAGACGAAGGCCACGACTGATAAAACCATCGCTGTATACTTAAGGGATGCCGAGGCTGTTCAAGCGGAGCTGAGGGAGGCCTCCGACCGGGAGAAACAGGTCAGTGATTTGGCCAAGTGTTAATCACGGAGGGAGACCCTCGGAGAGATCCACGCTCGAGGTTTTGACCTCACCAATGAGATAGCCCAAGCAAAAGCACTTGAGGCCGATGCCAAGTTCCCCATTTCTTCCGATGATGAAGATTCTATTAGTGGCACAAAGGGCGTGGGAAATGAGTATGGAGTACCCAAGGAGGAGGTTCCTGAGGATGCGGCTCCCAAAGTAGATTAGGCTCTTAGGATTTTATTTTTGTTTCTTTGTTTTTGTATAAGGCCCCTCATGGGTATTTTAAATACCCATTATATATTTAAAGAATTCCCTTTGCTTCACCTCCAATTTGTATTGAATTCTGCTTCGTCTTCATTTTATGAAATTTTTTTATGTTATGACTTCAATGATCAAATGAGCACTGGCTCGAACTCAGAATAGAACAAACCCTTAGGTTTTTTTTTAGTGATCAATGTGCGATCTCTGGACTTATAATAGATACCTCTTAGGCTCTTTTGTTAATCCTCGAGCTATTCTTAAGTTGATTTGATGTGAGCTCGAGATGATGAGACTCTTGAGTCCGAGTTAAGTGAGAGCAAGGTCTCGAACTCTACATGCTTCTGCCTTTAGGCTCTTTTAGGTCGGTCCTTAGGCTCTTTGGTTCGGGCCAATTTGGACTCTATAGCGGCTATAATTTTCCCTTTTTTTGGGCTAAAAGACTTAGTGAAAATTTCTTTATGCCTTAGCATGTGTTTTTTTACCCGTTGGTTTTTTTGAAGGTTCGATCGGTCGGAACCTCATTTGTAATCCGTTTGTGTTACGATAATTAAATATCTCTTGAGGCTTTTCCGAAGGCTGAAGTTATCGAAGCCTTTAAATTATTCGAGGGCTGATTTTAACGAAGCCCCATTTTATTTGCTTTTTCTGAGGGTAGCCTAATTTAACCGGTTTTTCAAAGTATTTTTCCGAGCCGCATTATTTCGGTCGTAGCCTTTTTTATATGACCGTAGTCTTTAATGTGGCCGTAGCCTTTAATAGGGTCATAGCCTTTGGGTATGTCTCTTGGACTTGTTTCCCGGTAACCTTTTTAGAGG